GAGGCAGGAGAATTGCCTGAACCCAGGAGGCGGAGGTTGCGGTGAGCTGAGATCGCGCCATTGCACTCCAGCCTGGGTAACAGGAGTGAAACTCCATCTCAAAAAAAAAAAAAAAAAAAAGAATAAGAATCTCGTTTTATTAGGCTTCTCTATCCTTATTTGTTGTCCTCATAGGTGATTTTATTTCTTTCCAAAGGTGCCTGGCAGTTTTCTCCCAGAATATTTTGCTTAGATGGGACACTGCCTTATGCAAACAGCATTTTGCATTTGCATCCAAGAAGGCCATCCATTATTACCTTCCTGAGAAATGCAATGCAAATGAATAGCTGAGGGGTTTTTACTCGAAAGTCATAAGTAATAAAAAGAGCTAATATACATGAATATTTAAATGTCTCAGTTCAATTTTTGGAGATCCAATTACTTCTAAATAATAATACAAAATAAAACACTGATTTGGAGACTTCTCCAAGATACATTGTTAAATAAAAAAGCAAGGTGCAGAATAGTATATATAGTGTGCTAAGAATTAACAGTGTGATTCTTCTGAAAGAGCATTTAAAAAAAAATGAAAAAGGGTGTATGTGAAAACATTCACTTGAACATACCTGAACATTCTTTGGGAAACAAAATGATTATCTCTTTGCCTGTGGAAGAAGAATTAGGTGGCCAAGTATGGGAAAAAGATTTCTTGTGAAAATGTTTGAACTTTCGAATTTGAATGTATTACCTTTTCAAAAATTGAGGTTGGCCAGATGTGGTGGCTCACAGCTGTAATCCCAGCACTTTAGGAGGTGGTGGCGGGAGGACTCCTGGAGGCCAGAAGTTCAAGACAAGCCTGGACAACATAGTGAGACCCTGTCTCTACAAAAAATACAAAAATCAGCTGGGCATGGTGTCGTGTGCCTGTTGTCTCAGCTACTTGGGAGGCTGAGGCAGGCAGTTGATCCCAAGAGGTTGAGGCTACAGTGAGCCGTGATCACACCACTGCATTCCAGCCTCGGTGACAGAAGGAGACCTGTTAAAAAAAAGAAACAAAAAAACTTTAAAAAAGTCAATGATACAGATTCACATTTTAATAGCCAGTTGAATTAAGGATTGTGTGTACTTCAAAACATTCTACACATTACCAAAGCAATCCTCAAATAGAGCTCACCTAGATCTAAATTATGAAAGAAGTTCTAAATAAGTATTAAAACAGCCTTTAAAAAAAGTACTGGGCTACTAGTATTTCATTGTATAAATTCCACAGTTTAAAAATCTGTTCTATTGATGGACATGTGGGCTGTTTTATGTTTTTGATTATTATGAATAAAACTGCTATGAACATTCTTGCTAATGTCTTTTAGTAGCCATAGACACTCATGTGTCTTAAGCGTATACCCTAGAGAGGAATTGCGGCCATTTGAGTAGGAAACACCCCAATCTTCAACCTGCACACATACTCTTACTGACATCTCACACAATGCTTCCTAGTATATAGTTGGAGAAACATTGAATTAGATAACTTTAAGGTCTCTACCAGCTCTAAAACTCAGAGTGTATAACCAAGACCGGAAATATTAAAACGTTTTGATGAAAACCGCTTAGGTCTTATTGTCAAGATAGTCATTCACACAGAGCTTTCAGGGAAATTGTTCTCTTATTTGTCATGTCCTTTAATTGAGAGTAGGCTCAAAATTATAACATTCCTAATTTATTTTTAAAGGACCCTTTAATGAGGCTGCAAGCAAAAATAAACAGATGCTACCTGGGGGAGCCAAAGAAATGTCTGATCTTCAGGCAGGTTATTTTGATCCCCATTTTGTAAGGATTTTTGAAGGTGAAGGCTACGTAAGTCTGAATCAAGTGAGGAGACGGGACATGATGCAAGCAGCCAAAAAGAATCTAAGCAAAGCCTTCCTCCCTAGTAGTGGAGACAAAAAGCCGTAAGTGTTTTGGGAAACGTCTTAAATAGATTGTTTGCACCTTTATCCCTAAACTAAATGTTTGTTTTTCTGTAGGACTTACTTATGTAAGAAGAATTTTTAAGTATTATTCTTAGTTTGTCTTAGGTGGAGACAGTTGTATTGGATGATTTAGATTGAAAAGTAATCTGGATTAAATATATTCTCATCATATTAAAGTTTGGATTATCTATATCACTGTGGTCTATTTGTTGATATAGTAAGAACAACCTAAATAAAAAAATTTGTTCAAAAACCTTGCAAAAGTCAGATTGGGAAAAAAATTGCCTTTAAGTATTATGTCTGTGCCCTTGACTACTTTTTCTGCTGTTAAAGAAGAATAAATAAAAATATGAGGCTGGGTGCAGTGGCTCGTGCCCGTAATCCCAGCATTTTTGGAGGCCGAGGCGGGTGGATTGCTTGAGGCCACGAGTTTGAGATCAGTCTGGGCAATATAATGAGACTCCATCTCTACAAAAATTAAAAAATTAGCTGGGTATGGTAGCATGTGCCTGTAGTCCCAGCTACTCAGGAGGCTGAGGTGAGCGGGTCCCTTGAGCCCAGGAGTATGAAGTTACAGTGAGCTATAATTAAGCCACTGTACTCCAGCCTGTATGTCAGAGTAAGACCTTGTCTAAAACGAGACCTTGTTTAAAAAAAAAAAAAGAGATGGACTCTTGCTGTGTTGCCCAGGCTGGAGTGCAATGGCATGATCTCGGCTCACAGCAACCTCTGCCTCCTGGGATCAAGCGATTTTCCTGCCTCAGTCTCCCTAGTAGCTAGGATTATAGGCATATGCCACCACGCCTGGCTAATTTTTGTATTTTTAGTAGAGATGGGATTTTACCATGTTGGCCAGGCTGGTCTTCAACTCCTGACCTCAAGTGATCTGCCCAACTTGGCATCCCAAAGTGCTGGGATTGCAGGTGTGAGCCACTGTGCCTGGCCAGAAATTCTTTTTTGATAAAGAAAATAATTTATCAAAGATACATGATTTTAAAATTATTGTGAAGATATACTCATGGGGTTTAACAGTATCTTAGTTATGACAACTGTCAATGTGAAGGATATTTTCTTCTTACCATTCAATTAGTTTAATATTAGACCATGTAGTCAATGTAATGTTATATAACTGAGATTTAAAATGTAATGTTCATTCACACTCAATAGCTTTAACTCAATTTATTAATTTGATAGAGAACTGAAGTCTAATTTTGTGCTTATTTACTGTATTTTTTGAGACAAGTTAAACTACATTTGGATAAGTTGTACTTCCTTCTAATTCCAGTAGGCAATGCCAGCCAAAATTATTGTCTCTATTAAGAGTGAGGATTTGTGGCTGGGCACGGTGGCTCATGCCTGTAATCCCTGCACTTTGGAAGGCTGAGTTGGGCGGATCACCTGGGGTCAGAAGTTTGAGATCAGTCTGGCCAACATGGCGAAATCTCGTCTCTACTAAAAATGTAAAAATTAGCTGGGCTTGGTGGCGGTCACCTGTAATCCCAGCTGCTCGGGAGGCTGAGGCAGGACAATCACTTGAACCTGGGAGTTAGAGGTTGCAGTGAGCCGAGATCATGCCACTGCACTCCAGCCTGGGCAACAGTGTGAGACTCTGTCTCAAAAATAAAACAAAACAAAACACAAAAAAGAGTGAGGATTTTCAGTGGGTTCAGTGGCTCACGCCTGTAATCCCAGCACTTCGGAGGCTGAGGTGGATGGATTGCTTGAGTCTAGGAGTTTGAGATGAGTCTGGGCAACAGGACAAAACCCCATCTCTACAAAATGTACAAAAATTAGCCCAGAGTGGTAATGCATGCCTTTAGTCCCAGCTACTTGGGAGACTGAGATTGTGGGGAACGCTTGAACCAGGGAGTTTGAGGCTGCAGTGAGCTGTGATTGCACCACTGCACCCCAGCCTGGGCAACAGAGTGAGACCCTGTCTCAAAAAAAAAGAAAAAAAAAAAGATTGAGGATTTTCTTCTTTTATTTAATTTTATCTTTTTTTACCTTTTGACACTTGATAGATTTGAATTATTTATTTATTGTTATTATTACTGTTTCTTGAACTTTTTCATTTTCTTAGCTATAAATTTAAAAATGCGATTTTTTTTACCCTCACGACTTTCTTTCTTTTTCATGGAATATATATATATATATATATATATAACCCTTGAAATAACTTTTTCCTATTTTTCAGTCTTTTCTCTTGCCTGTGATAAACTTTTACCCATGTGGTAATAATTGGGAATTGCTACCTTAATACATTAGTTTATAATATGCTTATATTCATCTGTCAGCCAAGAAATAATGTTTTATAATTAGACAAGCTTTCCTTTTTTTAAAAAAAAAATTCACAGATATTATGTGAAAAGCATCTGTAATTTAGTGGATACAGAAAGTGTTTCCAAAAAGAGAGACTGGTGTTATAAATGAGATACCCTCATACAGGCACTTACTCAACAATTATGGAACCATAGGCATGTATATATGTATGTATATATGTGAGATGGAGTCTCGCTCTGTCACCAGGCTGGAGTGCAGTGGCGTGATCTCGGCTCTCTGCCACCTCCGCCTCCCAGGTTCAGGCAATTCTCCTGCCTCAGCCTCCTGAGCAGCTGGGACTGCAGGCACAGGCCACCATGCCCAACTAGTTTTTTGTATTTTTAGTAAAGATGGGGTTTCGCCACGTAGGCCAGGCTGCTGTCGGACTCCTGACCGCATGTGACCCACTGGCTCAGCCTCCCAAAATACTGGGATTACCTGTGAACGACCACGCCTGCCCCTGGAACTGTAGGCATTTAATACATTCTAAATATAGTGACTTTTAATGCTTGCGTTAAATCATGTTCTGGGTAGATTATGCCTGTCTGTGCATAGTTCTCCTTTCTCTGCATTATCCTTGCTCTTTCCTTATAGACTTAAAATTTGCCATTTTAACCTCCTCCTTTTAAAACGTCAAAACATCGTATCTAAGATGTGGCTTAGGAAGCTACTACGGAACAATAGGTGGTCCAGTCCCGTTCTTCAGCGCACAGTCGAGACCTCGAGAAAAATATGAAGCACCTGGAAAGAATTTATACACCAGCCCCGGAAAGAAAGGAACTGGATATGGGTAAGGTGTTTTTAATACTTTCTCATATTATTTGTTTTGAAATTTTTAAAAATTAAGTTTCTGAACTCTGAAGTCACCATTACTTACTTTGCTTCCTTAGCTACCCAAATATTACCATAGGTAAACAGTTTTCACACGCCGCCGACTTCTATGACGCACCAAAACAAAATTATAAGGTAAAATAATGTTTTGAATGTTTCAATTTTTCTTTTATTTAGTTAATTTGGTATTAATAATTCAATTGAGATCAAATTTTGTTCTATCTATTTGTGTCACTGAGGCAGTGGCAAACTCATGTTTATGAACTGTGATAATTTTACCCTTTTATTAGATTTTCATATCTTGCTGCAGATCCTCTCAGCTCCTTCCGGGATGAATTTTCTCTCTTGCTATGACTTACCACATGTATTTTACATCTCTCTAAACTAGCTTTGAAACTTCTATTAACCTGGTCTAATCAACTATGTTCTATTTTAAGTAAAGGGTCGCATCCTGACTCTTAGCCTTATTCCCACCGCATCCTGCTATCTGTGCCTGCAAAAGTAATGGCAATACTTTTGGGCTGATCAAGAAGCCATTATGAGGCCGGGCGCGGTGGCTCAAGCCTGTAACCCCAGCACTTTGGGAGGCCGAGGCGGGTGGATCACGAGGTCAAGAGATCGAGACCACCCTGGTCAACACGGTGAAACCCCGTCTCTACTAAAAATACAAAAAGTTAGCTGGGCATGGTGGTGCGTGCCTGTAATCCCAGCTACTCAGGAGGCTGAGGCAGGAGAATTGCCTGAACCCAGGAGGCGGAGGTTGTGGTGAGCCGAGATC